TACTTTTTTTATTACAAACAGAATTTTCAGTTCTTATAGTAAATAATCTATTAACATTCTAAAGATTATGTGTAATTTTAGACAAAAATTACTAGTTTTTTTCAATAGCATTAACAAACAATTCGATAAAGCTTAAGAAATTGATGAAAAACAGTAATGTCTTTGTTTTTATTTTATATAATATTTCTATAATTTTGTTAATCAGCACACTCATTACTGTTTCGAGTGTACACCGTAAAATATAAAGATTTTTTTTTAATTTTGTATTTCTATTTGAAAAAAACATTTTGAGAGTTATTTCTTTAAAACTTGCATCATATAATAATATATGAGTATTCACTCCAAAGGAATACTTTATTTTGTCGAACGTTTTAAGTCTCAACAGTTAGCGTAAATAATTGAAAACCTCAAGGCCTTAAAACAATAAAGTTTCAATGTCCAATTAAGGCGTACTTTATGACATGTCGCTACTGTATCATCACAGTGATCTCATAAATATAATTAGTTAATAGCAGATTATATTTATAGCAGAACACATTTCATATTTATTTGATCTCAAAATCTGTTCATTAGACTACTAAGATAGCAGTCTAATGAACTAATCTAGTCTAATGGTAGTTGTCTAATTCGAAAATAGTCAATAATAATAAACATTGAACCCTTTCTTTGATGGATTAAAGTACAGCGAATATTGAAAAAATATTTTACTGATTCATTTATTCAGTGTTACGATAGAAATATCATGAAGAGTTTGGTAAACACATTATTATTATTAAAAGTTGACCAGAATAAAATTAAATATAAAACAACAATTGATATTAAAGAATGTATTGTATCGAATATTTGTCCAATTGTGATCAACTTTGTCCACTTGCCTGTGACCTACTTCAAGAGCCTTGAGATTTTGTGCATATCCGCTATCAATTTTTGCAATGACATTGACCTGATGATAAAGCCAACTAAATTTTATTTCCAATAATGTATTGATTTTTATAAATACAAACATAATAGTTTTAAGAAGTTAAGTGATAGTTATAATTTTGTTTTTCTTATAAACATTTTTATGTTATTGTCTAATTCGTGTGAATGTAATCTTTAGGTTATGAAAAATCTATGAGGATTTTTAAGAAGCATTAAGAAATTTGAAAATAAGAACACATAGTTTTACATCCGTCGAGAATGCTTTACTAGATTGATAAAACTTGCTTATTATATTTTTTGAGATTATCAAGAAAAACAACAGATGAACAGAAGGATAAAATTTTATAAAAAAACAATTAAAATTCATAAAAAATGCATGTAAATAAAACACGTTATTTTGGTTATTAGAAGTTAAAAATACTAGATCTTTGTGTATGATGAAACATGTATATCCCATTAAGTTAAAATGCATATACCGATCGATTTGTATTTATTGGGATATTCTTAAGAAAAAGTATAAAAAACCGTAATAAATTGTAAGTATATGACATATACAAGTACCAATGTGATTTTTCCGAGTCATATGTACTTTCTAAGAGTCTTTAGACACCACTGACAGACGGTGAAGGAAAACATCGTGAGGAAACCTGGACTTATATTTCTACAATTATAAGTTTGAAGTCACCAACCCGTCTTGAGCAAGCGTGGTGATTATTGCTCAAACCTTCTTCATATTGTGAGAAAGAGGCCTTTGCTCAGCAGTGGGCTCTGATAGGCTGATGACGATATGACATATTAAGTTTGGAAGTAATACTATAAGAACGGAATAATAAGGAAGAAGTGTTTCACAAATTGTTTGTAAAGGTTTTTATGTTATGAGGTTCAGACTCTCAAACTAAATAAAACTAAACTATTTTAAATAAATTAAAATTATATCATCTAAATTACATTCTGTATCAAAAACTATATAATTAATCATTAAGTATGGAATATAAAAAATAGGTGAACGAATTTTTATAAACGAAAACAAACAACAATTATTTAGAGGAAATCCTATAGGCTGGAAAATATTTCCCGACGTAAATTCACTGACACTGCAAAAATCGCGTAAAGAATAAAATAATAAGCAATGGGGTCAGACTGGCTGACGACAAGTCAGTCATCTGTAATAATATTAATTTCCTTGTTTATTTTGTTACTTATATCTAACAGTTCATTTTAAAAGGTTCGATTAATGTCTATAACACACATAACAAAAAGTGAGATGTATTCAGTGTTCAGTGGTTATTAGGCAGATATAGTAAATACAACCTGTATAACATATATAGTTACACCCTCACCCACGTATTTATCAAAGAACATGTTAAAAACTTTAAAGAGGCTTTCTGTTATTTGTGTTTGCTTTTAACTGCGCTGTCTGAGAGAATATATCTATGAAATTTAAAAGTAATTTTTTAAATGTATATTATAATAATACATATGAAATACTTTCGGCTAGATCATCTAATGAAACAAAAAATATATAGATTACACTGACAGAAGGTATTCGACTGACATCATGGATTGTTTATATACAATAAGTTTTATTACTTTAAGCCGAACTATTTAAGTTCTACTCTCTGAAAAATACATTAACATTAGTTGAACTTAGATCAAATTTTGAAGCAAAAAATATAAAATAATTTTACTCTTATCTTTCGGGGCTAAACAAGACTAATAATTTTTATCTTCGAGATTTGGTTATATACATATTTCAGGATTTTTTTAATACCGATTAGACGTCGAATCAAGTTCATCTAAACAAGTGAAATGCTTTTAGACCAGCACAAATTTTAGATAAAACCGGGTTACATTTCTTTTACTAATACATTGTGAACAGATTTGGTGTTTTCTGTATAAGTGTTGAAGTAATAATTTTATGACACATTTGTGTCAACGTTTTACGAAATATGAAAATTATAACGTTTCCATGATATTCACCACACTTGAGGACCAGCTGCTGTTCATACACTTGTTTAATAAAAACTGTAGCCCACCTCTCAATTACTATAAACAATATCTGTTGAAGGAACTTATTATATAGAGCCATTTAATCTGTTCAAGATTTCGAGTACAGACATTATATGAATGTATTGAAATAGACCGCCTTTTACCATGGTTTTATCCATTAAAAATGACTTTTAATATCATACCATAACCATTTATTTAAAAGATGACAATATAATTATTACAATAAATTTATTTTAAAGATGACAATATAATATACTCAGTACTCACTGACTTTGTAACTATTCCTACAAAATATATTTTTTTGGTCTTATACGGTTAGATTAACAAAGGAAATCAATTTTATAGAAATATACATATATGTATAAATATCGATTGTAATCCTTTTTTCCTCATTGACTAAATTTTCCATTTACAAGAATGACGTCTATTTACCTTCGGCTTTGCCCTCTCTCTTGATGTTAGTCGATAGTTCCATAATTTAATATGGCAATAGATATATGGAATAAAAATACTAAATAATATTTACATATGATCTACCTTAACAAAAAACAAAACTTCATCCATTGTGCTTCTTCAGTTTATACAAGATTATTTATCAGACACAACTTTTTTACAAATATAAACACATTTTGACTTTTTTCAAAAACTCTAAATAACTCACAATTTTTGTAAGGTAAATTTATGTTATATTTTCATTTCTATTAATAACAGTTTAGAGTAATACGCTAAAGTTATAAGGTTTATATTTATTGATATCAATCGGCTGAGTTGTTGATGCAGGCTGCGTCGCTAACTGAAAGGTCAGAATCAGCTTTATAAGGAAAAAGTTTTGTTATTATATTAGCTACCTTATTTGTATTAGGTATAATATAAAGCACTCTTCTGTTATTCAAATTAATATAGTACAAAAATTTATAAAACTTGTTTTATTAATTGTGATAACATGTTTTGATGCATCAATTAATTTAGAATTATTAATTTGTAAAAGTTATTTTAGTATTCCAAATAAATATTGTATTATAATTTTATAGTGTATAAATTTTCTTTTCACTTAGATATCGGTCATAGTATTTTATGTATATCGTTTTAGGGTGAAGAACTGCAAAATTTAGTTCCATAAACAAAAAACATATAAAACTTAATTATTGAATATTCTGTTTCTTATTGGCATTTACCTGTGGTTATTAGAAACAGGATATTTAGAACTTATTATATTACTTAGAAATATTAAATACTATTTAAAGATTTAATATGAAGAATTATTGAGTTTTCTAGCTCTTAAATATTTACTTAAACTACCACGTACATACATGTATGTACATAAAATATTTAACGATACAGTTATTAAAATATACCCAAAGTGTTTATGACAATCTTATATTATCGATGTCAATGGTTGGAAGGATTATTGTTATTATTACCTTAAAAAATACATAAGGAAAAAAGAGATTTAAGTTGGAAGAGCAACATTAACTTACGTCGTAAAAGTTACGATGTTGTTTTGTAATTAAAAAATATTTATATATGAAGATTTTCTCGGTACGTCTTTATTTAGTGTGTAGACAAAACGTTTCTTAAGTTTGTTTACGGTCCTGTCTGTCTCATATGGCCAAGCTGAACATATATTGAAAATGAACTTCCGCAACCATTACTCGGACCTTACTTAACTCACCTAGAATTGCGCTATCGGATTGGACTGTTTAATTCATTGATAAGGGGATAATTGTTCAACCTAAGTCATAATAACGATGTTACCTATATGTATATTTTATTTACTGATCATCGATTCGTCTGTGTAGCGGGCTGGGTGGGCATGCGCCGGCGCAGGCGCAGGCCGGCGCGGGGTGCGCTCGTTCATATAGCGCCCCCGCTCCGCGCGGCCTGCAGTCCTGACCGACCACACTTCGCCGCAGCACGCCTGACACGCAACACGCGCCGGTTGCGCGCCCTTTCTCTCACGCAGTGCGACGTTACGTGATTCAGTACGTGAATGCAAATACGGACCGCTCTGTTCATACGCATCGAGGAATCCGGTACCGCCGAATTTATCAAAAGGGTGAGTCTTTCAATTAGCTAGCGAGCACAGCGACTACTGCCTGCCGGCTCGCCTCCGCCTTGAGCCGTCGTTTTTGCACAGATACGTTGGCGTTTCGCACTCGGCCCTTCCCTTCGACGGGCTCCTGTGGCGCGATGCTGTTAAGGTTAACAGCTTCGGCGGTATTTGTAAATATGACCGAGGCGAGCCTCACTGCAACGTATCCGTACACAATAAAATTGTTTTTCGCTCGTCAAAGAATATTTAAATATCCCATATCGATGTTACAGTGAAAAGCGGTTCTCGATTCGACGCGTTTGTTTGATTCTTTTGTTCGCGTGTTATCCACTCGCGACAGGTATGAAATACAAAAACACATTATAACACCTACAGCGGCGTAAACTCATTGGGTAATAATGAAAAACATGATCCATTTCCTCCCCACCATAAGCTGGAACCACTGAAACAAGACTGCAATTATTTGTATGATTTGTTTACATTGTGTTAATTATCTAGTACAATATAACATTAGCAAGCAATGTTTGTTTTATGTTTTGATACGAAAAATAAATTCAAGTTGTTCAAACACGGGAACCGTCGCTTCTACACTGTTGTATCAGTATAGTTAAATTTTTCTTCGGCCGTATGTTTCAGTGGACTGTATAATTGTTTTTTTTTATCTGTAATTGCTGAGCGCGTATCAAACGAACGTGCCTGAGGCTCGCTCACATATTGTGAAGTAATTTTAGTATCTGCATAAGTTATCAATCGAATTTTATATCACATTATTTTATCCGTATCCTCAAAGCGTGTAAATTTTAAATTCTTAAATTTGTAGCTTATTGAAAAAAAAATACAACTTTTTAAATTAAGTAACAACTTTTATCACAAATTTTCGTTAATTACAATGCGACTTATAGTTATTATTTATTTAAACTTCATAAAAGTAAAATAAAAATAAGGTACATACTACGACTTCATTGAATTTTCTTAAAGATACTCTTTATAATTACAAGCTAAACACATTATAATGAGAAACAAAAAACATTATAAAAATTAAACAAAAAATTCTTAAGTAATTTTTTTATTTTAAAATACTTGGTCGTCGACCGTCGGCAGTTTACAAAATAACACTTACTTATTGTAACGAAGTAAACTACATATATAAATCACGGCTTAAGCTTTAATTACTTACATTTTATTGGTTTGTACGTACCATGATAAGAATGGTTGACTTATCGTCAACTTTACTTCTGACTGCCATGTACATATATGAGTCATCTCGTACTTTATTTGTAATTGTCTTCAGTAATGAGTGTATAATACATTTATTAACAGACCCGTCAATATTCTTCATTTTAACGATCATTTTCTAACATTTATTGTATTTCCGTTTATTTATTTGACTCGCAACAAAATCTAATACCTCAATATTATGTCTTATTAAAATATTAATGTTCTAACTGGTATATCCGGTGATAAAAAAATATATATGAAGACGCAAACGACTCGGGGATTATTATCGAGATACATCAAATATTATGGATGAGGAAAATATATTTATTAAAATTTATACATATATATTTTTTATTTATATTGGTTTTCTGTTAGAAATATTGTTTTTCAAACACGCCAATAGACTGTTTACGGTGACGGTAAATATCGTCATTGCAATAGGTTTTTGCGTAACTTTTTGCGACATCTCGACTAGTTACATGCCACTTTCGGTCCCTTTATAATTTATAAAATTATTAAAACAAACATATTATATTCCCTCTTACATATAATATAAAGACTAAATACATATTTGAACATAAATATATTCAAAAACATAGCTTTAAGTTTTAATAACAAACAATAAACATCGCACTTGTGTTGATGTCAAGTAAATAATATACCATTCATATATTCCATAATAGTTATATAATAAAGTAACTGGAAAGGAAATAATTCTTTATTGGCATATAATAGGAACTATTATATTATTTTACTTTGAGAATATATCCGAGAATGCGTACAATCGGTCCGGTTATAACCGGCTATATCTAGTTCCGTAAGACGCTTCTATTGGCAGGAAACGTGGAAACTAACTAGCGTATACATACATTTTTATACGATGATTCTGTTTCATTTATTAACAATTATTAGATGAGCTTTCATACTTTTTTATTAAATTATAAACATAATATTGTTCATTTCTTCATAATAAAAACGGACTTAATGTGAAGTAATGTTAATTTAAGAAGCTACGAACAGCATGTAGCATAGGTTCTTTATCTAAGCGCTTCTTAAGGATATTTCAAGATGGTATCTTCAAACAATTTTTGTTACGCATGAGATGAAACATCGTATGAAAATATAATTCCTATAGCATATAAGAGGTAGTATAAAAATCTATGTAGGTATTTAATATATATTCAATTTTATAAGGTAGGTTAGTTCATCCGTCCGTTTGATCTCAGGGTGATGGCAGGATGTCCTGCCATCATTAACATGTGATTATCAGATTTTTATCGTTTAAGTTTTCAAACACGAGTTAACGGATTCCTCGATAAGCAAAACTTGTTTACAGAGGTTTGGCAAACGTGCACTTGTATATAACATGCACAAGTTTTGAATATAAATTCGTAACTATAATTACATCTTTATGTATACACGACATTTAAAATTATTTATCCGATTCTACCCATTAAACGAACGTGACTAATTTACAAGATACGATACATAGTATAGCGGTTAACATTTAGAAATACATGAACGGGTATTGAACGTTAATTATTTCTGACATTAGATTAATTAATTAATTATTATATATGATAACTTGTATACGAGTAATTCGTAAACTCTCAACCGAGTCTGTTTCCCTGGTCGAAACGAGATTAAATTGAACGGAACAAGGAGATAAGGAGGCTTTTAATCCGTTATATTTAATGAGAGTGTAGGACGGTCAATGTTCGAGATGCCTTAAAAAAGGATAAATTTTATCTTTATCTTTATTTTCATCGTATCTTTTAACTGTATTATTATATAATATATTTCGTAGGTTCATAAGATATAAATAGATTGAATATGCAGTTATGTGATTGTAATAATTTTTTTTTGTATGAATGAATCATTTTTAATAGAACAATAATTATTTATTATTACTGATATCTTTATATATAAAATATTATTAAAAAAGTCTTTTTTTCAAGATCGATTAAAACAAGATTTTCATATAAAAAATTGTAATGAATATGCTTGCATGCTTAAAAAAAATAACTGAGTGTTTTATTCACAATATAGTCTTCCTATTATGAAGGATAGATTATTTTTATATAAATCAATGGAAAATTACATATTATTATTTATTTTAATGCTACACTTATTTCAAACTCTATAGAAAATAACGGATCGCGTTGATGTCGAATGTACAGGAAGGTGTTTATAAATTATACGATAGTATTGTACAGACATCAACACAGTTTGTTGGTGAATTTTAAATCTACAACTTATACTATATAATATCGTAAAAGTACTTTGTAATGTTTAGAAGTCCCAGCAGCCATATAATGAATAATGAAATGTTAGTGTCAATGTAGGACGAGGTCTATATTATTCGTTAGGTAACAGTTTCCAATATTACAAATACTAAAAGTTACAATATTATTTTATTTTTTGTTTGCAATCATTGTGTTCATTTCTATAATTAGTTTTCTCAATATTTTATGAAAGTTGATATAGATAAATTAAAGTTTATATATACATAGATATATATAATATGAGTGCTATTACCTCTTGTCTAAGGTAATAGTAACAAAATGAGGAAACTTGTACTCATCTATTTGTATGAGGACATGATAGCTTAGTTGTTAAACCGACTGAGACGTGATATCTCGGATGTAACTACTTCACATCCAGCACCAGTACATAATTTTTCCATTGAATACATACAAATTAATTGATATAGTCACTTGTCTAGAAATCTCTCAATACAATACAAAGAACAATTCACTCAATTTGTTATATGAATTTAATTGCTGTTTAAATACAAATAAATCGCTTCATTCTATGTAATTGAAAAGAAATTACATATTGTAGTGCAGATCCATTATATAAATGTCGTCTTTGAGATGTGCGATTGTTTTATATTAGCGTTACAAACAATCAGTATACACTTTGATTCTCCGAAAGCATTAGTGTTCGAGGAAATATTTTAATGGGTATAGGAAAAAAACATTAAATTAACCAACGAAACTGTAATTAACCCACTCGCTGAGTTCATTTGACAATATCGAGATGACTATGAACAGGTTGTCCGAGTATTTATAGATGGTGTCCAACACGACAGTGCGTGTTCTTTGGTTGATCCTTGTATACTTTCTAATACGACACGCGAAACACTAGCAAGGCCGTACGAAGAGAAATGACGAAAACTGTCCCAAATCATGACGTGTTGATTGATGGAGACCTAAATGTATTGATTTAATTAGAACATTATAAAATATATCGTTTATCTATAATCTTAACAATTACATTTTGCTTATCGTAATTTAGGAGCAATTACCTACATACTGTGATTTAATGTGTTTTCAAACTATGACCATTGATATGACCATTGCTTCATATAAATATGAATTCTTTTTGCGTTATTCATGTTATAAGTGTAATATTATAAAAGAACTCTCAATGTTTTTCAACAAGAGATATAATAAAAATCTGAAAGCAGTTGAGCAAAAAACCATTAAACTAGTTCAAAACTCGACTTGCTACATACGACATATAAAGATTACTGTTAATTCGTAAATTCTATCCTTATATATATCCAATACTTCTGACTGTGTGACTTCCTTAGAAATTACAAAAAACGTCTGTGACATTGTAAAGGAAGCATTGAGGTCACGTTCACTCGCGTTGTCTGATAAGTGTTCGAGAAATTTAAATTGAATTTAACAAATATCATCAATCAACTTGTACGAACATTCATTAATAAGAAACCTAGACGCCATTACACCTGACATAGTACATAGACGGTATAGATGGTTACTTTCGATTTCCTTTTTCTATAGAACGCAATTAAGCGCCAGGGAAATGTAGGCTTTGTGATATGGGCTTAAGGACAAAAGTGGTGTGGCGATCTGCTGGACTGTTAAATTATCAAAAAGCCTTCGGGCGACCTTCAGCCTGATTTAAAAATTGGCCATGTGAGTCGAGGATGTTACTACAAGTGGAGGCCAGTGGTTCGAAATAAAACTTTATATTATAGATTCACATCTACGCAATTGTTTAGAGATATTACCTATAAGCTAGTTGTTCTTTTACACATACATATACTAAACAATATACAAATATATTTCACCTAGCATAGTATCAGTTCTTGTGAATTATATTAATAAATCT